CTAGGAAAGTACTAATAAAAATACAAATTTATAATGTACATATTCAGAACATGTTACTTTTAGTATATATTGAAAAGAAGTTAAGTTGAGTTTCTTGCCAGTTATTCTCAATTGAATCTGTATACTGAACTGGACGCTAGAGAAAAAATATTGATACAAAAAATTTGACAGCTAAAATACATAATTAAAATACTTTTAATTTCATTTCATTAATCTGTATTACGGGTTATGCCTATTTCAGACAGCAGCTACTCACAGCAAATCGATTATAATAATAAATTTAAGCATTTTATTATAAGAAAACTCAATTATATACAGTAATTTTTAGGCCAAGGTATAACATTATAGAATATTATTATATGAATATCTTTCTATCTGATGGTTTCCAACTTGTTTCTAATTCAAACTCCATAAAAACCCAATCCTCTATAACTATTTTAACTTTACTATCCTATTCAGCTTGTTGATTTTATTGAAAACTTAAGTAACATATCTGGTATATTATTAATGCTAATAGTATTTTTATTCATTATTCATATTTTGTTACAAAAGTTCAAAAGAATGTCTTTACCATAAATGTATTTAAAAATGTACATATTGTGACGCTCTATCTCCCTAATGTGGTTCTCGTGAAAAAACAAAAAATCTACAATTCAATTCGCACCTCTGTAGGCATCCCTCATAAAACAGATGGTACGTTTCGCGAATAAATCTCATGCATTTGACACCCTGATCAAAATTCAATTAAGTAAAAGGAGACGAGATTTTCTTACCTCGGCCAAATTAAAACCGTACAAATTAATTCTATTAAAGTTTCTAATCCCGAAATTATTATTCCAAATTCAGAGGATATTATTGAAATTTCGACGACCCGAGACGCAACATTCAAAGTCAACTTTTATTCTAATAAATTCACCAAAAGATTCGTCTTGTTCAATTTTAAACATAATCGTTAATTTGAATAACATTGTTTGTCTTTAATTATACAGTAGGGTTGAAAATTGTAATTGTCAGGCAGCGCAAGGGGTCATACTCCTTAGATTTATTGCCACAAAATTATTTTCAATATAATAATTATCTCAGGATAATTTACACAGCGTCATCTAGACCCAAACTAACTACTAACTTATGTTATGGTTATTAGATAACTACAATTACGATACAATTGCATATTTTTTTCGTAAATGTATGTATAATATGTATGTTACATATTATACATACAAAATACCGGAGACGGACAAACGATCATACTCATGAATACAAATATTTGTGCCGTGCGTGGAGTCGAACCTGCAACCATCGGGAGTAAGGCGGTGTACTAAACCGCTAGACCACCGAGGCCATCAGATAATATTATAAATTATTAATCCGACACATTTCACACAGCACTACTATATTGGAATTTATACAAAGGTTCCTCACGATTTTCACCTATATCTGCCACTAAGCAATTTGCTTTGTAATCTTTGTTTAAGTTTCAAGGGTGAGATTTAATAGTGAAAATGTACGGAGGCAGAATACCTGTCTTTCGGAATGGGAACACATTATGGATATTTATATTTTATTATCTTTATTTAAGTATTATAAAATCAATACACATATATATACATCTAAGAAGGGTATTTACCTCTCTCGACGTTTCGACTAGGTTGCACTAGCCGTGGTCACGAGCCGACTGGAGTAACAGCGATGTCAATGTAGAAAGGTGACAGCAGTTTTTTTGTCTACCGTCACTAGATTGTTCAACGTTTCGTTGATTCGTGTTAAGACCCAGTTAATAATTTAAATAATATATATTAAACACGAAAGTTTAAAAATAACTTGTATCGTTGTTTATTAGGTATATCACTGTTGTCTAGTACTTATAACACAAGCTCAGCTTATATTGGGATTAATTTGTGTTAATTGTTCGGAATGATTATAGTTTGTAAATATGTGGTACAATATAAACCAATATTCTGATAAGGATAAAGATTCTTATGTAGTTAGGTATATACTTGTAGTGTATGTGGAAACACTAGCAGTTTATTATCTATCGTCTCGAGCCGAGTGTACATACACGGGCCGCCGTGCGCAAGAAAAGACGGATTCCCTGCGCAAGCGCCGCGGAGTTAAGACGTGGAGCTGTGACTAACGAGCTGATATTATGTCGATAACAACTTACACACCAGGAGATATAAGAAGACATAAATAACAAATAAGTAAACACTATAATACTTACATAATACATACATCCAGAAAACAAAACGTTAAGTAAAGTAAAACTTAGTTATTCATGTTCACATATACGACCTTCCCTGACACGAAGCGGGGACTAAGACATTTTATTACAAACTTATTTTCGATAGTTTTCTTGTACAACTAGAAAGTTGGTACTATGTCATTTCCTCCAATGATACATAAACGCTGGTGGACGATGTAATTTCATTAGGATACATAAAAATATTTGGATGCCAGCATACAATGGTGTAAATGTCATATAAAGTCAGTTACACAAGTGTGCGCTTAATAATTTATCAACAACAAATATTAATACTGCCCCGCAATTTCGTCTAACTCACATTTTACCGGTTTGAGACATTTTTCATTGCTTCGCTCCTATTAATCGTAGCGTGTTGTATATATATACAAACGCTACGATTATATAGCCTATAATTTTATTACATAAATGGGATATCCAACTAAAATATTATTTTAATTTAACCAATTAGTTTCTGAGATTAGCGTGTTTAACTAACCTAACAAATGAGTTCTACAATATATATACAGTATATGTGTATATATATGTATTAGTATAGATCTAGAATATACATGTCACCATCTGAACATTCTATATGTAAAATATCTCTGAAGATAGAATTTTTATTAATGTCAGCCCAGTGAGAAGAATGAAGGTGTCCGGTTCGCCTGTATACTTTCCTCATAACAAATTTCGCTCTCTCTCTCTCTCTCTCTCTCTCTCTCTTTATAGTATTAATACACATAACTTGCTTTTTGCTTTGTCATTTACTATATATTATATAGTCTTGTCTTTGTCCTATATGAATATCCTATATTATACATATATATTATTCATATAGGGCTGTAAATAAACGCCTTTCAATTTGTCTCTGATGTGATCATGCCTTTATGTCGAACGAAAGCTATAAACTAAACCGCATCCATAAGCGTTTTAGATGCGCAAGATACGTCAAAATTAGGCAACTGTTTTAACTAACTTATCCTCTTTGGTCGAGTTCGCTTTGACGGAAGTTTGAACCGAGTTTCCATTTTCCTTTCCATGACTAAGGAGTACTTATAGAAGATAACATCTTATGTAACACGTCTTGTTTTTACGATCAGTTCAATAAAAATAGATATTTACTTTTGATTAAAAAGTTTAGTATTATTAAAACATTGTTAAAGTTTATTCCCACTAGATCGTAAATAAAAATTGACTGTTAAGCGTTACTGGAAAATTAACAAAAAAAATATGGCAAAAAATGGATAATATCTCTTATAAGTGCCGAAAGACTAATTTTGCTCTTTGTACATCCTGATTAGAAAGCTTAGGTTTATGTTCAGAAAAGTGTGTCTTTCTATATGTTTGTCACATTTTCATGACTTAACGGAGGAGCTGGTCTTACTAAAATTTTACATAAACTTAGTTTGTCATATACAGACATATAGGCCATAGGGAATAAAAATTAAAATCGCCGATGACAGCCAGTATTACATACATTTTAGGGTCATTTGATGGGTTTGCATAATGTTGACTCAATGAAATTTTCGTCTATATGTCTATTTGTATATCTCAATGACTACTGCATGAATAGTAAGTTTGTTTTATGTTTTCATAGACATATTACTAAAGCTCTAACAAAAAATTTGCCCTTCATTACTACTGGAAAATATATCGTGCGTAGCAAGGGCGGGTCGCTAGTCGTTACCTTTTTTTCTGTTCAGTCGTATAGATATCTGCACGGCTTTGTACTTATCCAAATATCATATTTCAGGCAGAGTGTACACTAAGGGAATTATACGGCGGTCGTTTATTCATTGGATGATTGATGGTGCCCGCGAACCTCTCGTACTCCCTCACTCAGTTTTTTCCCGAGATAACTTTATATCGCCATGTTCCATCTGCCTTTTGGAGACTCGAATGAGATTTTGCGCTGCCACGCGTTTTTGTATAATCACCGTTTTGACAGATGACATTACAGTTGTTAGTCGACGGTGAAATTGAGATATTATTTACTGCCGCGCGGACTGATGACTTACAAATGCTGGGTTTTTTTCGACTGGTAAAGACAAAGGACTTGTAGCCGAGCTGCCATTTAAATTAGGTTATATTACAGTAACATGATAGTCACAACTAATTTGGGTTCTAGTGGCTTACTAGGACATAAAAGTAGTGAGTTCGAATATGATTGATACCAAAAATGTTGTGTTAATTATATTTATAATTGACTCTCCAGTAATGGAAACAGCAATGAAAAATTAATCCAAGAGACCTTGGATTAATTTTTGACATATTAATTCACAGTGACGTTGATAGTCGACAATTACTCTGCTTACCTCATCAGTGTTATAGTCGTGAAGATTGTGTTCTTCTATAGGTACCATCTTCTATCTAAGATTGGCGATCTTTGTAGTGAACTTTATTTTGTCCATGGCGTTTATTTTACCATCCTCATCCAAAACCATTACCTGAGGTTTTTCAACCACGAAGTACGGCGTCTACCTGGTCTTCGGCAACCCTGACATTTTAAATATAAGAGATGTAATATGATAAAATAATATAATTAGTGAGTATTTTCTTCTAATTCTCTTTCTTTAAGGTTATTAATTAAATTTAATTAAATTAAAATCTCCATTAAATCATCAATTTTAACCAATGGATCAAAGTTTTTTAATATATAAAGTAATTTTACGATAGGTTTTAATTTTTGTTTTACTTTTTTATTGTTGAGTTTGGGATACGGCATAATAAAAATACACGTTCATAATTTAATGTAATTTAATTTAATTTAATAAATTAACAAAAATCACTGTTTTACAATCTCATTGATATGTGTAATAATTATTCTGACAATTTTGCAGGTTCTATACCTTTTTCTGCTTTCATACATTAAAAATTATGTCAGTCTTACCCCGCTTTATTATTTTCAAATAATACAATCTTTATTAACCTAATAAATCTTGACTATAATCAGCATTAGAGGCTAAAGAATTTCTAAGTGGCACCATGTTATTGTTTGAAGAGACACGTTTACGCTTTAATATGAAAAATATTATTACAAACACTATAGTCGTAATCGTAAGTCCAGAGCACCATATTAAAAGAATAGTAGGTGTTGATATAATTTCTTCCTTAGAGATCTTAGCCAAATCTGTATTACTATATCTCATTGTTGTAACATTGATCCTCTCATTATTACCACATTTAATTCCATCGACATTATCATCATGGAATACTTTATCAGTGGATGTTAGTTGTATTTTTCTTGAAATAATCTCCTCAGATCTTATATGACGAATTATCTCCTTGCATGAAATAGGATTTGCTCCAAAACTTATTATATTCATATTTGGTGTTATTGATATCAGCCTTTCGATGTCTAAGGTTTTAATTCGATTATAGTCAACAATTAACATTTTCAGTTTCAAACATTCATGAAACATGTCCACATCTAATTCCTCAATATTATTATTAGATATATCCAATATCTCAGTTTCATGCAGGCCTCTAAGGAAACCGTACCGCAATGAATTAATTAAATTATGGGACACATCCAATACTTTTAAAGACTGGGCATTCTGGAATATGCCTGGTTCCAGTACAGTGATTTTATTAAAGCTAAAATCTATAATCTGAAGCTGACGAATATTTCTAAGTACTGTCTGATTGATTTTAGTAAGGTTATTGTTAGATACATACACACTTTGCAATTCATGGAAATACCCTAACTCAATATTTGAAACACGATTTGACGAAAGATTTAAGTCTACTATACTAGTTAATGTGTTAATATGTGGATTATTAAAAACCAATATTTTATTATTCGACACGTCTAACTTTTGTAACTTAGGTAACATTTGAAAGCCAATATTATACAATGTAGTTATGTCATTATATGAAATATCTATGAATATTAAATTTGATGGTTGGGAAAATAATTTTGAAATGTTAGTGAGCTTGTTATTGCTCAAATATAAGGCTTTTAAGTTAGACATAGTGCTATTTTTAATATCTAATTCCAATAAGGCGTTATGAGAAAGATCTAAACTATATATATTATTCATATTTATAAAGTTATTAGACTGAATATCTTTAATTTCGTTATGAGATATATTTAATTTGGCCAGTAGTGGTAAATTTGACAAAGCCATATTATCTATAGATTTCAGTTTGAAATTACTCAAATCTAATGATCTTAAAAAACGAGCGGGACTAAACATATTACTTTTCACTGTACCGACTAAATGATTGCCGTGTAATTTTAAAAATTGTAATTTTGTTAATGACAATCCAAACTGATCAATTGTAGTTATTTTATTTTCAGATATATCTAACAACTTTAAATCAATTTGATTAACGAATGCATCTTTTGATATAAATTGTATTTCATTATAATCTAAATATAATTCCGCTAAGTTCAACAAGCCATCTTTTAGAAAAGTTAAGTCTCTGATTTTGTTATGTGAAAGTTCTAAAATATATAAAGCATTTGCATTACTGTATGATGTAGGTTCAATAATGGTAATATTGTTTCGACTTAATTTTAAATGTCTCAATGATTTCATTTCCGAGAATGCTCTATTTTTAATTGCTGTTACGTTCTGTGAATTTAAATCTAATATTTCTATATGGCTTAATCCTGCAAAAATACTCCCTGTAATTTCTCCACTTATATTATTTTTACCTAAATGCAAAGTATACAAATCATTATTCTTAAAAACATTTTCACCAATAATAGATATATTATTGTCAAATATGTTTAGGTAACGAAGTTTCTTATTAGTGATAAACATAACTGTCTCAATTACTGAATTTATTTTATTGTGACTTAAATCAACAGTTTTCAAATTAAATACGGCGTTAAAGCAATTTGATTCAATTGTTTCAATAGCATTATTTGATAAGTTAAGTTGTTCAAGGGATATCAGATGATTTATCTCATAGCTCGATATTTTTATAAGCAAATTGTTAGAGATTAATAAATTTTTCAATGATTTCAAATTAATAAGCGTTGTGTTGAGGGACGTCAGTTTATTATTGCTCAATGACAATGTGTCCAAAACATCTAGAGAGGAAAATGATTCATTTTCTATTGAATTAATAATATTATTTTCTAGATACAATTCAGTTAAATATGGTGTATGTTTAAACGTCTCCGATGGTAGTCTACTTAAGTTATTAAATGATAGATTAAGAAACAATAACCCACTTGTGTCAATATTTGATGTTTTAAATGTGTCTTCCTCTATTATAGAAATGTTATTATGCGATAAATCGAGGTATCTTAGTTTGGATAGTTGTAAGAAAGCTCCTTCATTGATAACTTCAATTCTATTATTGGATAGATTCAGAGTAATACAACCAGAGTAATATCGGAATGTTTCTCGTTGAATTGAAAGCCATACGTTATTAATACCAATTATTGTACGGACTCTTGAATCAAAATTCGTCGAACCAAAAAACGGAAAATTGAGTTCTCTAGACATAGAATCTTTCATAATAAATGTTACATTAGGATTACTGGAGCAGTATGGATTCGTAATGCCACCAGAATCTCGATTACAAATAACTGTATACTGACAGTTGTTTACGATCGATCCAATCTGACAATATGAAGTGGTAATGAAGGAACACTGCGCTCCAAATATTGTAAAGTCTGTAATGAAAAAAATATATACGGTTTTTAATAAATTCTCACACAGATACGTCCTGATGTCGTAAGGAGCAAATTGCTACAAGAAGATACTGCAAGTGTGACAATTAAAGAGGACATAAAAAAATAGGATAATTTTTGAGAATTCATTTCATAAAGGGGTGTACAATTTATTGAATGAAAGTGTGTCGCTATTTTTGTACTAGGGAACTTAAAAATGTATGTTGCTATAGTTCTAGTTGCCTTATATATTCTGATTGAAAAATAATGACCTCAATGTATAATTTCTGTATTGCAAATTTGTTATTATATATATATATATATATATATATATATATGTATATCTGTAGTAGAGTTGATAAAACGCTAACCGGAAAATAAGATAATCAGGAAATAATATTCAACATCTAAGGCATTAATTATAAACAAAAAATTTTTGATTTAATTTGTTAAAATTAAAATATTTAAAAATATACTCAACTATTTAAAAGACACTTTCAAATACAGTACAAAGCTACATTATTAGTGAGTACTAAAGATGTGCCACTTAGAAAACTATGGAAATCCATGAAATAATATGTGACAAGTTGATTTGTATCGTTTATCGACTATGAACGCTTATACATTTGTAAATTTATTATTGTTGAGCAAACGACAACAAAAAAATATGAAACATCTATATGACTCATTAATTAATAATTCATTAAATTTATTATTATAAAATGACATATCGGGTCATGAAACAAGTTAGTTCCCCCTTTTGGATGGTTCTTTATGTTATTTTGCCTATATGTTGATACACATATAACAACATATTCTAATAAACATTTATTTGGATAGTTTTAAACTAATAGAGAGTTTTCGCCCCGTCATATTATTAATATTTTATTTAATGTAAGATAAGAATTTATAGTAAAGTGTAATAGTAAATATATTGGTGGCAAATCAAACTGCTGTGACGTAATTATTATAATTCAGAATGAGTTACTACGTCTCTGTACAAAGTCATGTTGTGTAAAAATAAGATAAACATAGAGTTACCATAGCTCTGTACAAAATCGTGCTATAATGTGAAGACTAACTAAATAAGATCTACTAAAATAAGACTAACTTTGATAATGTTTATGATAACAGAACTATTATATATCATAATAAACCGAAAATAAAAGACTTACACAAATAAAACTTTACATTCATTTTGCCCAACACTTTGCACTCACTGTATCAGATAAATAATCAACAAAGTCTCTAATATAATATACATGCCAAAATATAATTTAACAATTATATTATTGTTAAAAATAACAGAGACGCAAACGTATACACAGTTCTTTCACGAATATACATTGGACCTATCCTTTGTTCAGTTGGACTTAAAAATGAATAGAGTAGACTTTTAAGTTTTATTATTATTTATTTATTTATTTATAAAATTGGATTACAGTACAATACCAATAAAAAACGTATGAATACATATATTAATATTAATACTAGTGATGACAATTTCATAAAAAAAGTTTAATGAAATTAAAATATAAATAATACTAGTGATGTTACCGAATTGTCTATAAATTTGTTATCTTTTGTAAGCTTCAGTGTAAGCTTGCAAAATGTTATTTTATTGGTATTTTTATTAGGTACAGTTCTATTGTACATAATTTTCTAATGTTGACAGTTATAATTCAGTCAAAATGTTAATCCTTTTAACAATATTATGTAATATATATTTTCGGCTACTATCTCAGATGGGGTAGTCACAGTCATTATCAGCTGTCGACAATGGTGGTCGACGACCGTGGTGATTACAATATTTGATATGCCTCTAAGTCGCAGAGTATATATTTGATTTAAATGTCATGTGGCAGATTGACGAAAATACCACGTATTTATTTGATTTTTATCTATGCATCATCGAAAACTCAATTAGAAGTATAAATTAATACATACTATATTTTATTTGGTGTTTTCAAGTTTAAACAACATCCTTGAATAACAAGTCATTACACTTATATTTGAAATTTGTCAAGTAGAATAATGAACAAGTGTTCAAAGAGTAGTCAAATATATTGAATTTTTCGTAAAATATATATACTAGACGTCTTGGCGAAATCTTGGCTTAGTGATGTCTACCCGGAATCAAGAATTACACAGAACATATCGTAGTTCAAACGTAGCCGACACAAAAAAAATATTTATGAATTTAAAATTCTGGCTCTCTGATGAAGCAAACACTAATGTCAAGCCTAAAATTCATCTGAGAGGCGGTGGTTGATTGACTGAATCCTGCCACATATGTATTAAAATATACTCAGTGAAATGTGAGCATGTCAAATATTGCATTCACCACATCATCGTCATTTGACAATGCCTTTGACTACGTCATCTGGTATAAGATTTCTCACGATATGTATTATTACATATGATATATATTTTAATTTATTTTCTAATTTAAGAAATATAAAAAATAATTGTAATGTAGTCTCTACCCCACTTGCAAAATTCCAGATCGTAGGCGGATGTCATTATCATATTTCTGTATATACTGTACTATTACTGTATATGTTTATCGACAATCATATGAGTCAGTGGGTGAAAAAAGTTGCTATTCCCTAATTATCTATTATTTTTAACCGACTTCAAAAATAGAATAGTACACAATTCGAATAAACGTCATGGTGAAATTTTAATTCAAATGATAATATATTCCGTGCTCTTTTTATTATTGGCTTCAAGCTTGTAAATAACAGTGACATAATAATTAGTTGTTGTGACAATGATGGTGATGATTTTTTATAAAACTATAAATCCATCTATCTTCACGACAGATCCCATACAGGGTAGGCAGAGACAGAGTAGATTACCATTGATGTCTGTTCTTATATACAATTCACAAAACTATAAAACTATTAGAAAATTATAGTACACTGCAAGTCTATTAAAAATACACTAACTCCCCAAGTGACTGAAAGAAAATCAAGTGTTAAATGTTTAACTCCGCGATACAATTGTTCAGGAGGGTGATTCTTAACGACCTTTTTGGGCACTTTCCCTCTTTTTATGGGCCCATTGTGGGCAACAAGAGGCGCGGTACAAGTGATAAGTGAACAGCGATCGAACCTCGGTTATCGTGTCCTGTAATTTTATTACCTTACTTTTATTGTACGTCTTTTACGATAGTAATAGATTTTATTAACTATATTACAACCAATACAGCCAAATTATAGTACACGTTACTAGTTTTATTTATTTTTATTAAACATGATAAACTCTATTTATTAATGACGATATGAAACTAAATATAGTATTTTATATAATTAAAATGCAAATAAGCTGAGAACCTATCTGAAGATATTCGGTAACCGCCGCCATAAAAATCATCACGACATCACATTATCATGTGATTAAGATTCATTGCTTCTAAACCCGAATTTCATTGCCTATTCTCACTCTTTAACAGAGACAGGTCTTATAAAGTAATAAGCAATTGGACTTTAAATAGAATTAAAGTAACAACAAGATCGAGGGAAGGGGATTGTTACTAATGTGGACTGTTGATGCTATCGCTAGCAATTTATCATATTAGGTTGACGTTGATAGGTTTCCCCTGGAAAAAACCATCATGATAAATTTTAGTGAATTTGTTACGATGGTCTAACTGTTTTGATCTTATGTTCGTTTTAGCATCCTCCACTGGTGCCCCACTAGTGTAAACTATTATCCAATAATATATATATAGTCTATCTTATATATATATATATATAAGATAGACTTCATCTCTTTTCACTTCAATATTAGCATTATAATTTATATTCATTTATTTAGTTTTTATTATGCTTACAAGTATAACTTCCTGCCATAACAAATTCTCTACAAGCTAATAACTCATTCATTCATCACTTAATTTATACAATTGTATATATAATGCAATTGTATAAACTAGTCATTTACTGGTTCCCGGATCAACCGGTGACTAGGACGTTTGTAACACCGAAATATCGGAAACTCTTATTATTGCTATAAATATCTCGTTTATATAAATTTGTACAAATGTAACCAATTATGAAAATAAAGATTAAAATCATGCTTGTTTATATATATATATACATATAATTTGTATATTACCAACATTGCATTTAATCTAAACTCTATAAGCAACTGGAGTTCTTACATTGAGGGTTTGACGGTGCAATTTATGTAATGTAATGAAAGCCTTGCTTTTTATGTTCATAGTATAAATAACTTTGGAATCCTTTCCTGATCCCTCTATTTTACAACTGCCGTCAACTCACAACAGCTGAGGGATCAGATTTATGTCATTTTTATGGGAGCTAAGTTAAAATCTTTTAATCAGCTCACTGAATTTTATTAGCCAAAAGCCAAGTGTATTAAAACTGTGTTAAGGGTATGTAATGTTTTCTTGTCTATGGTTAAAGGAAAGTAACGTATACCTATATAAAATAAAACTTAAATAATGAAACAGCTTTTTATTCTGTAGTTTATTTAATGAACGCTTATGAAATTATACCACCATCACTAATTATAAAATTATGACACATTTCTTTAAATGTACCTATTTGATTTCTCTGATTTTGAAATTGATAGGATACTATAAAAGTTTAAAAGTAATAAGTATATTACTTTTAAACTTTTATATATAATACTAGCTGAGACCACCACTTCGTACCCTTATTTTGAACCTGTAGGCTACCAACCTCCTTGCATTGACTACCCATATAACACAGATATATTTACTAAAAAGTATATTGTCTAAAATTTCAAATACATTCGCTTGCAAATATCTGATTTAAAAAGTTGTTACATTAATTATTATTTGTTATTTTAAATCTGATATTATATACATTGTCATTTATTAAATCTTTTATTAATATCACTCCTTCTGTTATCAACACGTCAACCTAACTACAAACCAATTGGAATAAAATAAACTTTAAGTAGCTTACCACAATCATTTTTAAGAAGCGCAACGAAATTCACAACAAAAAAAATCTAACAATAATTATTATGGGTTATCGAGTATTACGTTGATTAAGTCCCCAAATAGTTTTTCTCATATATCGATCAATTACACTTTTATTATTTGTACATGTATATGTATATATAGTTTATACTGCACTATTGTATTAGGCTAAGACCTCTAAAAATAGATGTAAGTGTGGAAAAATAAATAAATAAATAAAGAATTCATATCCATTTCACACTAACCATGGACACGAGTTGACTGGAGTACAACGATGTCAGTGTCGGTGTTCTGTGAAACTTTTATATACAACTGATGACTACGACTTTCAATTTCGACGACGGTCTCGGTGGTCTAGGGGTTTAGCACTCCACCTTATATCATTCTGGGTGTTTTCTACGTATAATATGTATTTAGGAAAAATAAATATATCTACATATTTGTATAAGTTATCTAGTACCCATAACTTAAGCTTAGCTTAACTTGGGTCTGAATAGCGCTGTGTGAATTGTCCTCTAATTATTATTATTATATATTTTTTTAATCTGGTATGATCCGCTGACAACCCTACCTTATACCAACGCCGAATTGTAAGGAATTGTTCGAAATAATTATTCCCCTGTCCTCGGTGCACATAAATCCACTGTGTTGCGCCTTAACTACGCAGCGTAGATTCACCAATCCCCCCCTTAAGGGTAATTTGGGAGGCTAGGACCAATTCTTACTTTAGTATTACCACGAATTATTTCAATTTATCTCGTCACTGCTCGGCTTTGTGTTTTAACTGGCGTTTCCTTATCTAAGTTTGGAGTTATCTTCTCAGAGTACGCTATGATTGTGTTTAATGATCGCATTTTTACAATATTTATATAAACAAATTGAAGGATGATAATTTCAAATTTTATGAAACAAAAATGAACTTGACAACTTATAATAATTATAATAACCCAGGACAATCCACACAGCGCCATCTAGTCCCAAGCTAAGCGTACTTGTATAATGGATACTAGACAATCGTTATAAACGTATATTTGTATTTCTAAGAGAAGAATATAAGTATTTTATAATCACTTGACTTGGCATAGTGTTTCAATGAGGTTATATCGAGTTCACCTTCATTTAGTATGCTATTATAGTTTTTTCCATTAGCACTCTTATATAAGAATAGAACATCATTTAGTCAAATAAACTCAATTTAAGCACATTTGAATTTGAATTGAAGTCTTCCTGATTCCCTTACTAGCTGCGACCGCAGTTTTACCAGCATAATATTTATAGGCTACTACATGTGCCCGCGACTTCGTCCGCGTAAGATTTTTCATCTCCTCTTTCATC